CGTTATGACATCATAAACTGGCCAAAATCTGATCAGCTCATTTTCAGACAGGTTTTTATATAAATGGATCAGGACAAAAAGAGAGAGAATCTTTGTTCCTGAAACTTTCAGAATCTTTTTACACAGAGGGGGAAATACATTTGTTGTATCTTGTGATCAATAATTGTATGTCCACAACATGAGAGTAGATTTAACTGGTTTTACTTTGGTAACATGCTTCCGGGACTTCCTCGTGGGAACATGTACAACAGGCTCTTTTAATACCAAGAGTGAGTTTGCCCCCTGCTGGACAAATGCAATAACATGTAATAATAACACAAGATAAGATACCACATTTCCCCCCCTTTAAGCTAACAATACTTCCCGAAGGTGGGAGTATAACATACTCCCGTTACACAACATTTCGAGGTACTGGCATGAACCATTTCACTTTCAAAGATTAACATTCTAAAACCTTTCCTTAAAGTGAGATCAGAGAACTATGCTGCTCTATTAATGGAACATCTCTTGATCTATTTAACAAAGTCTTTCAGGTATACAGGTGGCTGTCTCTCGCGCTCTGATCGTCTCACCACGGGTGTAGCAGGCAAGTCCGGCGGGACCGGAGTACACAGAACCACTGGCTCACTTGCAGGAGGTCCTTCTTGCTCGATTGTCACTGGAACCACAGTGTCTCTGTTGGAGTCCAGCACCGGCTCTAAGGGCACGGTGTCTGTTAATCTGGCTCTTACTTGATCCACATGCCGCTTCACGACTTGACCACTTCCAATGATCACTGTATATGACACTGGACCTGATGAGCTCTCGATGACCGCAGCGATCCATTTAGGTCCATAAGAGTAGTTTCTGATGAACACTTTAACCCCAGGTGAGAAACTTCTCAGTTTCCTGTTTGTGTCATGGGACTGTTTCTGTTTTAGTTGTTTTTGCTGCACTCTTGTTTTCACATCTGGCAGGAGCAGGTCTAATGCAGATCTGAGTCTCCTTGACATCATCAACTCTGCAGGCGACAGGCCTGTGGTCGCGTGAGGTGTGATGCGGTAACTGAACAGAAACCTTGACAGTCTAGTTTGCAATGTTTCACCTTTCATCTTTTTCATCCCCCCTTTGAAGGTCTGGACCGCCCTCTCTGCCAGCCCATTAGAAGACGGGTGAAACGGTGCTGACCCTCACATGGCGGATGCCATTTTGTTTCATGAAAGTCTCAAATTCAGCACTTGTAAAACAGGTTCCGTTGTCTGACACCAACATTTTTGGCAGTCCAAAAACACTGAAACTCTGACGCAGCTTTTCAATGGTCACCTGTGATGTAGCTGACTTCACTGGATAAATATCCATCCATTTTGAGTGAGCATCCACTATCAGTAGAAACATCTCTCCCAGGAAAGGGCCTGCATAGTCCACATGAATTCTCGTCCAGGGAGACTCCGGCCACTCCCAGGGATGTAATGGTGCTGATGGTGGTGACTTGTGGTGCTTTTGGCACTCCTCACAAGACTGCACTTCCTTTTCTACATCCTGGTCCATCCCCGGCCACCATACATAAGATCTAGCCAGACCTTTCATCTTTGACATGCCGGAATGTGTTTGGTGCAGTACTTTCAATATCTTTCCCCTGCCTTTGTTTGGTACGATGACTCTGGCTCCCCAGAGCACGCAGCCATCCCTCACACTCAGTTCTTCTCTCCTCTGATGATACGGCTTGAGAGGAGCCTCAGTCACTGAAGGCCATCCCGACAGGACATAACCATGAACTTGAGACAATATTACATCCTTAGCTGTCCAGTGTTTTATTTTGGCTGTGTCCACGAGTGTGTCATCCAGAAGATCAATCATGAGCACTTGTTCTGCGGTCTCACTCTCTCGCACATCTTCCGACAGCGGCAGTCTGCTTAATGCGTCCGCATTAGCGTTGTTCTTTCCTGGTTTGTACACAATGTGATACTCATAGGCACTCAGGTGCACTGCCCATCTCTGAACTCTCGGGGAACCCATCTGTGGAATGGGTTTCTTTTCGTTGAAGAGAGAGATCAGTGGCTTGTGATCTGTATAGATGGTGAAAGTTCGACCATACAAGTACTTGTGGAATTTCTTGATTCCAAATATAACTGCTAAGCCTTCTTTGTCTAGCTGTGAGTAATTCTTTTCAGCAGGCGCTAGAGTACGCGACATGAACCCCAAAGGACGTTCAGTTCCATCGTCCATTACGTGTGATAAAACAGCGCCCACCCCGTAAGGTGACGCATCACATGACATAATTAACTCTCGGTCAGCAGAGTAATGCACCAACACTTCTGCTGAGTTTAACAGGGCCTTTGATTTTTTAAAAGCCTCTTCCTGTTTCTTTTGCCATGTCCATCGCACATCTTGTCGCAGGAGCTCATGCAGTGGTGCCAATAGTGTAGCTAAGTTTGGCAGAAATTTGTTATAGTAATTTAGCAACCTAAGTACGACTTGAGTTCAGTAACATTTGTGGGGTTGGGAGTCTCCATGATGGCTTTGACTTTCTTTTCCACAGGGTGAAGTCCCTGTGCGTCCACTCGATGTCCCAGATATTCCACTTCCTCTTCCAGGAAAGTGCACTTGCTCCTTCTCAGACGCAATCCTGCCTCCTCCAGCTTTGCCAACACTGTCTCGAGGTTCTGCAGATGGTCTTCCTCATCCACACCCGCTCACCAGGATGTCATCTAAATACACTGCCACAAAAGGAAATGCCTCGCAGGAGACCTTCCATTGTCCTCTGAAATATAGCTGGGGGCTGATGCTACTCCAAAAGGCAGTCTGTTGTATGTGAATAAGCCTCTGTGCGTATTCACTGTTAAGTATTTCTTTGATTCATCATCCATGAGTATTTGCTGGTATGCATGACTCATGTCCAACTTTGTGAACCGTTTTCCTCCTGTCAGTGCTGCAAACAGGTCTTCCATTCGGGGTATGGGGTATTGTTCAAGTGAGGAAACTGTATTTACAGTGAGCTTGTAGTCTCCACATAGCCTTACTGTCCCAACAGGCTTCAGTATTGGAACCACTGGTGCTGCCCATTCTGCATGTTTAACAGGTGAGATTACTCCTTCTTTCAACAATCTGTCTATTTCTTCATCTACTTTGGTGCGCATGGCGTACGGGACAGACCTCGGACGGAAGAAACGAGGGACTGCATCAGCCTTTACATGGATGGTAGCTTTCATACCTTTCAGTGTGCCAAGCTCCTCTTTGAAGACATTTTCATGTTTGCTCAGTACTTGCTGCAGCGATTTGTCCTCTGTCTTCAGGTGTTTCAGGACTCGGGATTTGTGTCTGAGCTTGATTTCTTTCCAACTCAGATGTATTTCCTCCAGCCAGCCTCTTCCCAGCAGGCTGGGGCCGTCCCCTTTAACCACAATGAGGGGCAAGTACCGACTTTGACGTTTGTATTTCACTTTAACAAGGGCAGCTCCGACCACATTAACAGGGTCACCTGTATAAGACTCGATGCGGATTTTGGTTGGTCTCAAACATGGACTTTTTGTGTCTTTCCATAGTCTTTGAAATGTCTGTTCATTCATTATTGTGAGACTACAGCCAGTGTCTATCTCAAAGTTAACAAACTTACTATCCAGCTTCACTTCAACCATGTATGGGTCTACTCGTCTCAGGTGCACTTCACTCATGCGTCCCAATCTGAACCTCATCTTATTCAGTAAGAATGTATCTTCTTCTGAGCTATCACTTTGGCTCCGTTGCTCTTGTACTTTATGAGAACGGTGATATGTGGTTTGCCTCCTTTCTCTCTTTGGGTCTGCATTTTTGTTGCTGTTTCCCTTCTGTGTAGATCTACTACGACAAGCTCTGGCAATGTGTCCTATTTTACCACATGCATGACATTTCTCTTGTTTAAACTTACAGTCTGCTGCTTCATGCTGGGTTCCCTTGCATCTGTAACACTCTTTGGTAGGTTCTCTGTGTGCATAAGCCTCCTGTGACTTTTATCCATTTTGAAGCATTTAGCTGTGGCCCCTTGGCTTTGTATCTCCTGTGCATTTTTATTTGCAGTCTCTGACGCCACAGCAATTGACAATGCTTTTTCAAATGTTAAATCCGCTTCTGATAAGAGTCGTCTCTGAATCCGATCTTCATTTATTCCACAGACGATCCTGTCTCTCAACCTCTGCTGCAAAGTGTTACCATAGTTGCAATCCTGCGCTAAACCGACGCAGCTCAGCCACGTATTCCATTACTGACTCATTTGGCTCACGGTTGCGGGAGTCAAACTTGTACCTTTGCACAATTTCACTAGGCTTTGGGTCAAAGTGATTTTTTAGCAGCTCCACAAGTTGTGTGTAAGTCTTATCCTTGGGCTTATCCGGACTGAGGAGGTTTTTCATAAGGCTGTATGTTGATGATCCCACAACACTTATTAATATGGCTCTTTGTCTGTCTCCATTTTCAATTGCATTAGCCTCAAAAAACTGTTCCAATACTTCACAGTATTCTTCCCACTTCTGATTTTTTGCATCAAAAGGTGCCAGCGTGCCAATCATTGCCATTGTGTGTCAATGAATCCTCTCCTCCACCCGCAGACTATGCTAATAATTTGAGCTAGCTGCCGCTAACGACCCAAACCTGCATGTAAGGTGCTAACCAGTCCGCTCGGCATGTCCTCTTTGATCCCGTATTGATCCTTGTCTTAATCCTCTTCTTAATCCTCGTCGCCAATAATATGTTGTATCTTGTGATCAATAATTGTATGTCCACAACATAAGAGTAGATTTAACTGGTTTTACTTTGGTAACATGCTTCCGGGACTTCCTCGTGGGAACATGTACAACAGGCTCTTTTAATACCAAGAGTGAATTTGCCCCCTGCTGGACAAATGCAATAACATGTAATAATAACACAAGGTAAGATACCACAACATTAAAAAAAGTGGATTTGGCACAATAGGTGACTTTAAAAAAATTATAAATTAAATTAAATCGCTAAACAACAACAACCTTTGTCTCTGTCCTCCCTCCCTTCAGATCCTATGTGGCAGGGAGGTCCCTCGCTGGGTGAACCGGCTGGCCTACTTCAGCTCCTGCGTGCCCTTCCTGCAGAGCTGCCTGCCCAAAGAGTGGCTGACCCCGGCCGCGCTGCAGTCCAGCGTCAGCCAGGAGCTGCACGGAGGGGGGGGTGGCGAGCTGGAGGAGGCCGAGGACGCCGCCGCCTCCGCCTCCCTGGCCTCCATGTCTCCCTGCTCCCCTTCCTCCTCCTCCAGCCCCTCCTCGCTGCCTCGCCACTCCCGCCACCAGCCGTCTCCCTGCTCACCTTCCTCCTCCTCCAGACCCTCCTCGCTGCCTCGCCACTCCCGCCACCAGCCGCGCCGATAAAAAGCTGCAAGGTCTGCTGGGAGACTGGACTTTAACAGAGACTTCCAGGTGACAGAATACCTGATGAGCCCTCGAGCAAGGCAGTGAGAAAATCAGCTGAATCTCGACGATGATACAGAGCGGCAGCAGGAGGAACTGGTGCTGCGGATAAAAGAAGGATCATCCCTCCGAAGGACGTGGCTGTGTCCCTCTGGTCTCTTTCTTTTTTTTTTACCGGACAACTTGAAGTGCAGAAGGCAGGTTGTTTAGCCATTAAAGTGTTTGAATATTTACCAGCCACACTCAGATTCTACCAGCCGCTAGTTGGTGGATGGTGCTAATCCCTGTCTTGTTTAAATGGAAACCAGTGACAGAGGATGCTGAAAAAGGAGTGTAGGTCAGGACTGCATTTTAACAACCTGATTTGTTTTGAGTAATCTTAGCTGATATTTCCAATTTCACAATCCAAAAAGAACCTGGGATGTAATATAATGACATGTTAAAGAAATAATGATTATCATAGATTTATCAGTTTATTTCCTCTTTTTTAACTTATCAAGTACTGTATGGACTTACCTATTCAGGCTATGAGGTTCCTTTCAAAAACACACTTCTATGGTGCTATTTAGGATCTTTGTATATCAAATCCATCTCTTTTTTTTATTAAAGCACTGAGGTTTTGGTCTCAACACTTGGTGCTAGTTCTTTCATTTTGTCACACCGAATCGTGATTGCTATCTGAAGACAAAGAGACATTTGTTTTTAAAGTTTTAAAATACCTCTAGCTGGTATACTTTGTGGCTGGTAAATGTTGACACTTCAGACAGCTTTTGTTAAGATGTCCTTCAAATGTTAAAAGCAGCAGGTGGAGTTTATACAATTTGCCTCAACATGCTGTGTGTGAATCAGGACCTCAACCTTTTCTTATGTTTCTCTCACAGCAGGCTGGATAGACTTACCTACAATCAGTCTCACTTTCGTCAAACACAACATAGACACAAAGAAACTGATCCACAACCTGTGTCTTAAATCATGGGTTCATTTCCCGGTATTTTTGGCTTCACACATCCCTGTTCTTGTTCCTTTTTTTGGTGTCAAATCTGTATCAGCAGTTGTCAGGAATCTGTAGCAGCTCATAAAATCCTTCCTGCCTATCAAGGGATAACCTGACGTGATTTGAAAAATCCATTAAAGCAGATATTTTAAATACATTTTTTAATAGTTATGTAAAATTAACCATCTTTCTTTACCAATAAAACATTGTTAAAAATAAAATACATTCTAAGACTTAAGTTGCAGGGCAGGCAGGAACCTAGAGAAAACGCTTGTAAACAGAAAGTTCTGGGGTTGAAGTAAAAAAAATGTTTTCTGAGTAGCAACTGCCAAGGTGCCTTTGAGCAAGGTACTCAACCCAAAAGGGTTTCAGTGGCCAACAGTAGAAGACTGTGGTTGTACTGGACTGCTCCCAGTGTGCAAGTGTGTTCATCTGTTCAAGTTGCAAAATGTTTGGTCTTTACCGGAATGATTCAAGGTTCAAGTTTACATTAGAGACACGATGTCATAATGTACGTAAATGTGTGAAGACGACATGACGATATGAAGCGGAGGAATTTAAGGAAGTGTGTGTCTTAAATGGGAAACGAAACCTTCTGACCCTCCATCAGCCTGCACTCCTGACATTTTTCTCACATCGGTGTTTGGTTAGGGGCGATGCACATTACAAAAACATTAAAGGTTTTATTTCAAGCACTTTTACTTTCATTTTATATGTGGAAAAAACAAACGGAAATCAACATATTCTATCATTTACTCAGACAATTCATTGAACGTCTCAATCACTTGAAAACTATTTTACATGTAACAACAAAACATCCTGCATTTTGGGTGTCGTCCCAAACAAGAGCAGTGGACGCTGTTTTCACCTTTTTTAGTGAGGAATGAACTACAAGCTGGAAAACTGTCATATATATATTTTTTTGTTTGTTTAAAAATCCTTTAATGTATTTCTATGACATATGGACTCTGGCCTTTTTTGTTTATGTTTGATAAACTCAGGACTCCAAAAGGCTTTGTAATATAAAACTTACATTTTTTTTATCCCACATTTTGTTTGCATTGTTGATTGCTTTTTCTAATGCAGTAGTCACTCCATAGAGCTTTTCAAGATCGCACTGTGGCAGTGCATTTTTATACTCTCTTTGATAAAAGAGCTTTTGTTTACAACCTGGATGTCTGGATGTGAGCCTGTGCTGCTCGCTGTGTTCCTGTATGTGCATGAATGTGTGAGTGTGTGGGCACACTTGTATTATAAATGGTTAGTATCAACAAGCTGCCAACTGGGCCAATTTCCCTTCATCAAACACACACGCACACACACACTTGATTCTTTACAAACGTAGCAGTATTTCAGAGGTTTTGTTTCAAAGATATTGCCACATCCTCAAAACATTTGATATATTTTTAATCAAGTGAATTTGTTTGTCTGTAATCTGGATTGAGTATATTGTCAGATTATTCAGCAGATGTTAACTACTGGTTAAAAGATCATTTTCTACACTTTATAGAAAGCAAAATCAGTGATATTTGTTATAACACCAGCATATTTATGATTTGGAGGATTTAACTTGGTGTATTATGAACTCCATTTTAATTGTTTACGTTTTAGTAAATTTGAATTAAACACAGACACTCTGCCCATGTCGGCGCCTTCTGCTGGCTGTTAACTGTACTGTTACCTGTCTGTGGTTAACACTGAGGTTTCCCTGAACATTCACAGTTTCAGATTATTTCTGTATGTTGACAAATAAAAAGACATGTCTCCATACACCAACTATCCACCAGCTGCCAAATGCTGAGGTTGAAAATGATGACTTTATGTTAATATTTCAACATTTAAATTTACACAAATCACCATAACTGAGGCCAAAGATAGATATCAATTCACAGCTCTTCTTTGATAACAGCCATCGAATTGTCATCATTAAACCTCCAGAGCTACTTTGGTTATTTAATTATAGCAATCGTGTTATCAAATGGTTATTTGTGTGGCTTTTGCTATTCATTATACATTTGTGAACCATGAATGTAGGTTGGGAAACCTCAGTTATTCATACCCCAGAAAAACTTGACTTTTGCTGTTTCACAGTAAACTTTCACAAAGCCTTCAGATGAGTGGACCCAATTTGTACCCTGTTGTAAAGTTATTAAAGAAAACTATACTATATGTGACTGCTACTCTGTGTCGAGGCTATTTTGGTAAATTAGTTTATTGGTTGGTTATGTTACTCTACATACAGTTTAGTTGCAGCTGCACAGGAAATATGTTTTAGTGGTTGCAGGTGATTTAGCTACAGGTTTCTCACAACGAAAATTAAACAGAATAAATCTTTATGGCTAGATACTATTTTTAATGTAGTTTAAGTGCTTTTGATCAAAAATAATATTTTTACATTTTGGGAAATAGGCTAATTCGCAATCTTTCTGAGTCAATTATATTGAATACGAAGTTCTAGGGTCAGACGACTGCTAGCATAAAAACTAGCATACGTTAGCATTACAACTAGCCTACATTAGCATATCAACTAAAAGTGGGAGGCATAGCTAGCCTAGCTATTTTCAAAGGTACAGTAAACGTAAGTTGCTATCACTTCCTAAAGTTTACGAATATACAAAATATGTATATTCAATTAATACAACGTGTAAGTGTAAAAATGGTCATTAAAAGGTTAGGCTATGTGCTGGTCAAAAGGTGGTCAATGTCTTCATGTAGAGAAAATAAATGCCATAGGTCGACACAGTGGCTGGATTGACCATTAGAATTTGTATTTTCTCCCAGTGTCAGTACTTTATTTTAAGTACTCTGTTTTACGACTGCAACACGTTTAGCTAGATTTTAGCCTCTAAATTGCCCACCCATTAAAATGTCAGTATGAAAGAGAACATAAACAAACATATTTGCTTTTAACATCCCAGTGTTTGTAATCAGAGGTGGGCAGTGGTAGGCTAAATGTTTCAAACAAAACACAAAAAAGATTGTTCACTCGTCCACATAGTAAAATATAATTCATATGAAGTGGTGTAAGCGTTGTGAAGATGAGCAAGCCACTAGAGGGAGACAAATACCAATACAAGATAGAGCAACTGACATCAGTGTATTACTGGTTGTATTGTTTTAGATTAGGGGCACTCATGATACCCATAATCACCACAACTTTGATATTTACGAATTGCAATACTGATCTTGTTGTTAATATACACATGATGATATATTGAGTAAATAATCCAGCAACTCTTAAATCATCAATCACTTTAGCATGTTTCTGCAAAGTTAGGACGACAGACTTTTCAAAATGTATAATGGCAGAAAAGCAAATCTAATGCAAAATAAGATGAAACAATATAGACCAATTTATTGTACATCCCCTGAGCCTAAAAAGGCAATACTTTCTCCTCTTCCCCCTTTAATTACATTACATATTGATATAAAGCGAGTTATATTCAGAGATTCTCCCGTTTGGGCTATTGTTTCCTGGGAACAAATTGTAGTTTTATTGGCTGTTCTGTCCAGCTGAACTCCAAAGGAATCTAAAGGAAGAAAACCATTTTAAATCAAGGACATGACAGTCTGAATGCACATGAATGTGTGTGTTGCTTTGCATGAATATGTGTGTTACTCTTACCACGGTGTCTTTGCATGTCTCCACAGAGTAATCCTGCAGGAGACGGACAAGAACCATCTTCATGGTGAGGACGGCGTAGCGCATCCCAACGCAGTTGCGAGGACCGAGCCCAAACGGCATGTAAGCGTACGGGTTCACCTCCTCCCCGCTGTCTTTATTGAACCTGCACACACACACACACACACACACACACACACACACACACACAATTTTTTAAGTCAGTACACATCTCTTTTACACTGTACCTTTTATCTAGGTTACATAAAATGTGTTTCTATTCCTATTGGTGCCTTTTGTTTTTAAACATTTCTTTAATTTTTATAAATGGTATAGTTTTATGACTTGTCTGTTTATTAAGTGGATCAGTATAAGCAAGTAAAATGGAACATTTTAACCTCTACAATTTCATGACAGCTGTTACGCTGTCTTCTTTTACCTTTCCGGTCTGAAAAGCTCAGGTGATCTCCAGAAGCGCGGGTCCATGTGTAATATCGTCACAGGGATGGCCACGATAGTTCCTTCAGGGATGGTGATGCCGTGGAACTGGGACGTTTTCTTGCAACTCCTCTCAATTCGAGGTGCAGTGGGAAGCAAACGCATCGACTCACAAATGACCTGATCCAGGTACTGAAGACCGATCACATCATCGTATGAAATGGGAGCCTATGGGTGGGAGGTAAAGGAAGCATCGCACACGAAAATACAGATGAGGATTAGAACAATATACCATTTTGAAAAGTTGATCAAATATGGCAGAGAATCACATTTTCGTACATCTCTTGGTATGCTGGCATCGATTTCTTCCTGCAGGGTCTGCAATGCATCCGGGTTGGTGGCCAGATTGTAAAGGATGTTAGTGATGGTGATACTGGTGGTATCGGAGCCTGCAAAGATGAAAATGAAGGCCTGGGAAAGCATCTCGTGCTCAGTCAAACCTACAACAAAACGAAGCAAAACATCCAGGTTGAAAAATACTTTCACAAGTGGAGAGGTTTTGACATTGGGTTGCCGTGGCTCAGGGGGGTAAAAGTCCTTGCAGTCAACAGGTTGAATGTGTGTGAACGTTAGTAAACACATTTGTTAGTAAGAATACTAAGCAGGTGCCTCCTCTACCTCAGTATGAATGTGTGTAAATTGGTGAGTGCTCCTTTGTTTACGTCCGTGACATAGACACACTTTGTAACAGTCATGCTTCTATTGGTAAGCTCCAACACATAGTAGAGGCACAAAATACAAATATGAACCTGAACAGGAGGATAATATGTCCTATTTAAGTGGACTGGAAATGTCTGTGCCTATTAGCTGTGTTTTTTTGTGTCTGTTGTTTGTATACAGAACTGTAATGTAAATAGATTGTCATGCGCCTGTCCTGAAAGGAATGACTTCATTCTTGATTGTTAACTCGACTTTCGTGAATTATTACTGTGTTTGCAATCATACCTTTACTTGGCTGATCTTCTTCACTCTTTATGTCCGTTTCTTGTATCTCATTCTGAAGCATCACATGCAGGAAGTCCCCTCGACTCTAGATCAGCACAACATCCACATCAATATACAACATTGCTATTAATCTTCTTGTCTAACTCTATACAGGAAAGCTTATTTTTCAAAAATGTCATTGCAAACTTTTTAACACTTGTTTCACTTAGAACAGATTAAATGCTTACAGATTCCTCTGCTTGATGCTCATCTTTAAATCTCTTCATAATGTTATAGAAATATTTCACGCTGAGGCTTGGCATGATTTCAATTTTCAGGGCCTTCAACAGTTTATCAGCAGAGGGAAACATCGCTGAAAAGAGGGAAAAAGGTTGTTAATTATAATGTCATACTGGTGATCCCAAGGTACTAATACCATTACATATTCTCCTCTTTAAAGGTGGGGTAGGTAAGTTTGAGAAACCGGCTCGAGATACACTTTTTGTTATATTCCATGGAATGCTCTTAACATCCCGATAGCAATGAATATCTTAAGTGCTTTGACAAAAAATCCATAAAAAAATGTCATCTGTGGAAGCCGTAGTACTGTAAAAAGCACGACCAATCATTTTAGCCGGCCCGGCTAAAATAACTGGATGGCCTACCTGCCTGTCAGCCTTCCATCTGTGCACAAACTTATCTCGTGCCCTCATTGGTCATGTGCGCGTTCGTGTGTGTTGGAGGAGGGGCTCTGTAAGGAAGTGGCAGATTTTCTCCGGTTGTGTATTTTCAAATTCTAGCTCACTCGAGCTGGTTTCTCCAAAATTACCTACCCCACCTTTAACAGAGTTAAAAGGACATACTCAATAATAGCAAAAGCCACATTTTAAAGTTAAGAATCTTCTTGATGTGGACATTAATTGGGTCATCTGGATCGTTTATGGAGTTTGCCTCGACACTAAAAGATGCACTGGTCACAGCGTCCAAACTGTAAGGTCCCACGAATCTATAGCAAAAAGAAAATATGTTTTCTTTAAGGATCTAACATGTATTAGGTGCAGTTTTGATATATTTAATGAGCAACAATGCAGGATATGCTTGCAACTTACTGTTTGATATCGATGGGTTCATCCAAATTCATTTTTCCAAGTTTTTCAGTGAGTTTGTCTGCATAGCGAGAAACGATGGGGAAAACCTTTAAAAAAGGAAGAAGAGATGCTTTATGTTGATAATCTACTTTGCATTGTATGTATGTATTTCTGTCGTTAGTAACAATGTATCTCAGTGGGTATATGTGGAAGACTGTAGATACATGTATGTAGAGAAAATAAAAAGGATCAAATAAAACGTTATTAATCCAGAAACTATTTCTGTGGCAGAGGTTGCTAATAAAAAATAAATACTAATAAGATACATCTATACTGTGGGGGAAACTTCTGAAGCAATTGGAGTCAGGACTCAAAGAGAGACACGATGGAGAGCTGGAGCTTTGATGGCAAACACTGACGGTTATTGGAGCTTCGGCCGGAGAATTCACAAGACATGTCACGGGCCACGAGTTGACCACACGGTTGAGATGCCACAATCAATTCTGAAGAACCCTCCTGTAGTTCCAGGTTTGAACTAGTTCGGAGTGTAATAATCAACATGCTTCAATAGATAGACTAAACAGCTGAGGACACTGAATCACATTTGTTGTCGCTTATGACTCGGGGTCATCTACACCCCGAGAAGGATGTGTTCCAGGTGTCCCACAACAATAACTATCTCTGACCGACAGTTGCCCGGTCACAAACTGGCAACATCAACAAAATGCTAGGGCAGCCCCTCCTTAAGGGAGATAGCATGCTGCCCAAGGCTGGGCATCTGCGTCAGAGGGCAAAAGGTAAACATCTATGGAAATTATTCCCTGACATATACATGTATAAGTAAACTTTTTTTAAATAGGAAGTAATACTTCCAGTACATCTTTAGACCAACAATACAATACGATAGATTTTGTAAAATAACTTAACAAGTAATTCTGAGAGTACTGTTGGCAATCATATTATAACATCTTTAAAGAGTGATGCAAATGAGAGTAATATTGCACATTAAAGTGCAGAATTATTACTGAATAAAGATGAATTTGTATAGCTGCACAAGGTAAAAGAGAGCCGATTGCAGAAGCAGTTGTGAGTTTAGAAATTAAACCTGTTTGAGTCGTCCACTGGTGAAGCATGGGGACAAAGTGCTCCGGATTCTTTTCCACCTTTCATCTTTAACGCTTATAATTCCATCCTTCAAAGCTGGATCCCCTATAACTTCCTGTGAACGTAAATACAAACACACCGAATGCTCATATTCTTGCACAGAAGAGTTCCTCCAACATGTTACCCTTGTCTTGGTCAAATAAATAATAAAATATAAAATAATATAAAATAATCTGTTCAATATTTAATATTCCATCTGTCATATATTTATGTATATATAATACCTTGTTAAATTCAACATGTATATTTTCTACTTTCTTGTTTATTTCTTGTCTTGAATTTGTATTGTACAATGCCGTGTCTTTTTATGCTGCTGCAACGCAAACATTTCTCAAATTGGGATCAATAAAGTACTATCTTATCTTATTTGATCTTATAGCTGGATTATCCTACTGTATGTAACTATTTTAATGATTTCAACAAAGCACAGGGATAACATATGTGAGCCTGTGTTAATCCTGACTCAAGGTGTTATTTACCATGACCTGCTGAAATTGAATGTATTCTTGTGTACGATAACAGCAACAAGATGAGTCTCTTACCCTCCGGTTGGTAAACACAGAGTAGCACTCTTTCACCAGCACAGTTTTAATAATCTCAGGGTCAGCCACCATCAAAACGGGTTGTCGGAAATCAAACAACCTGCACGGAAAACACAACATCATCACAGTATTAAGTTTGAGATATTGATTAAAAATGACCTCATTAAATGAATCAAAATGTTAGCAAAGAAATATATTTATCTTTCAACACTGGGCTATTCATAGCTTAAATAAACGTTAGTGCTGTTATCAAATGTGCATGCTGTAAAATGTCACAATATCAAACAGTCATTTCGTCATCTTTATATCCTACTAAGGTTATATTATACAACGTGACATATAAAAGAAAAACGTTTTAGTTGTCATGTTACCACCAACAGACAGATTTCCCCTTTCCTTTCCTTTCTGTCCTTCTCCATGGATTATGATTTATGTTGTGACCCTAGGGAAGGAGGTTGATTCCTAGTTTGTAGGTACTTTTACAGTAAAGACAGTGGTGTAATTTTGGGGTACATGTACTTTACTTGAGTATTTCCATTTTTACGCTACTATACTTCTCCTCCACTACAGTTTGGGCGACATTGTACTTTTTAATCCTCTACATTTATTTGAGAACACAAGTTACTCTACATATTCAGAGTATTAGCTAATACCAAATAAATAAACATTGATATATAATGAGTTGTGATGAAAACATTAATTCATCAATAATAATAATCCAGTAATTTAATATACATGATTCTGAAATGTGCTTTTGCGCAAAATAAGTACTCTTACTTTTGGCAATTCACATATATAATGCCAATACTTTTGCATTTTTACCTAAGTAAGACTTTAAATGCAGGACTTTCACTTGTAACAGTATTTGTACACTGTACTTTTTTTTTCTTTTTTTTTTTTTAAACCTTTATTTAACCAGATAAAAAACATTGAGATAAAATCTCATTTTCAATGCTGACCTGGCCAAGAAGGCAGCAACGTTACACATAACACATAACACAAACATATAAAATACAGAGAACATAAAGAAAACAAAAGACGAAAAAGCAGTCACTACATTGTGCACATTAGGACAATAAAAAAAGTACACTACTTGTTACTGCAAGAGCAGCTGGTGGTGAGGACTTCAGACAACTTCAATTTAAAACATGAAATAGAGACAAGTGCCCTCAGTTTAAGGCGTGATTGAAGGTCATTCCAAGACCAAGGACCATAATAAGAAAGACTCCTTTTTCCAGCCTCAGTCCGTACAGTAGGTACCTGGAACCGTATCCAGGCACTGGATCTGAGTTTGTAAGAGTCACAAACTGGGGCAAATCTGACACATATGTAGAGTGGAAGCTTACCTAAAATGGCTTTATACATTAATAAAAACCAGTGCTGCATCCTACGCATAGTAAGTGAGGACCATCCAGTTAGGCTATACAATGTGCAATGATGAGTCCTATAGGGTGCTGTAACCCTAACCCTAACCGTAACACTTCTTCCACCACTCAGTAAAGAGCTGAGTACTATTTCAACTCCCAATACCAATGCCACTCAGTAGATAGTGAGGAAAGGAAATTAAAACTGTTTAAAATACCAAAATAAATATAAACTGGTTAAGATAATAAACCAGGTCACATCATTTTATGTTGATGTGTATTTATGATTTATTTTTCCCCCCAAAACTTAATGTATGGCAACAAATGTATGTACAAAATAGCTTTAAAGTTTGAAGCTTTTTTTTATAGCATTGATAATTAAATTCCTAATCTGCATTCGAATGCTAAGCAGCTTTTTTTCTCCTTTTCCATCCTGTTTAAATCCGTAATGATCTGCCCGGTTGCAAAATTAAATAAAGATTAGACTACACTATATATTATTTGAATTATTAGATGTATATAATAAGATTCCAGTGGTGGCTGTGTAGAGCTGTTTCAGACTTGTGCCATCCAGAAATGATATTAATCCAACGTCCAAAAAGTCCAAAAGTCAACATTGATTAAAAAAAAGTATAATATCTTTGTCGACAAAATATTCTGCATGCACCTGTATGAACAAGGGTGTCGGGCAGCATTCTAACCACACATTACATTTATACAACAACAATAACATATCTATTTTGGCTCAAAATAGCCAATCGCAATAAGAGGACAGCTAAAGCTACAACTCACCCCCAGACGTCCCCATACTTGGCATGGCACTCACTGTCAAAAGCAAGCAACCCCTGCAATGAAACGTAGAACAACGTGTTAAAGGTTAAAGGAGCAAAGGTTAAATGATCAAGTGTACGGATTAGCCATGGTCACTGCCTGCTGAGTTAAGTTATAATAAATAAAAAAGACAATATACCTCTTCAATGTGTATCTCAATTTACTCATTTTACATACCAGTCTTTAAGGATTGTGCGTATTTGTATTACCTTCTTATAGTGTAAAATCGTTCCTAAAAAGGGCAAATTCGTCGGTCCGGGTATTCCAAGTTTTTTGAAATGCCTATACGGCCAAGTGCCATACCTGTATTATATAAAAAAGAAAAGAAAATATATACTGTGGAGGTTTCCATATTGGGTTATGTCATTCAAATGAAAGTTAATATAATCAAATATAATTTTGTATAATCCACAATGAAAAATGCATTATATTTTCACAAAGCTCTATACGTTCACTCTATAATTGTGAGGTACTAGTAATTTCCTTTTCAGCTACTTTGTACTTTTACTCCACTACAATTATTTAGTACCTTTAGTTACTTTGCAGATATAGATTAATTATAACAAATGGGATCAAGACTTTAGCTACATCTGGATTAAATTCACCAGCAGTAAATTAATTAATTAAAATGGGTTCCACATTTACCAGCTTGATAAACATATGAATACATCAACATTTTACTCAAAACATATAATGTTCTGAAAATGTGTCAATCTGCATAATGAGTACTGTTACTTTTGCGACTTTAAGTATATTTGATGCTAATACTACTGCAGTCAAGCCAGCCTCCACTTCGGAAAACACAGTTAAGCCAGCATCCGCGTTGTTTTGCGGTGCGCGAATATCCTATGCATTACGGTAGCGGTCTGGAAAAACTGCCTTCAAAATAAAAGTGCTCACTCGGTCAATAACAATTATACCAAACATATTAAAATATGTACTATATAGGCCTAATGTGATCAATAATAATGTAAGACAAACTACGTATAACTACCACATTATAACTGACTGAATGTAAAACGTAAAGAGTTTCAAAATAAAAGACCTTTGAAGTCTCATATATGAGCTATCATCCCTCTGTTTTTAGATGAGAATAAAACAAAAACTGTCCAGTATCAAAGACTAATATCACTTCAGGGTGATAGCAGGACACCCCATCTAGTCACTCAGAGAAAATCACAATCTGATGTAGAGTTTCAAAATAAAAGACCTTTGAATTCTCATATATATGAGCTATCATCCCAGTTATAATGAATGACAGTCAGTTATAATGTGGTAGTTATACGTAGTTTGTCTTACATTATTATTGATCACATTAGGCCTATATAGAGTGGCGAAGTCACGCCCACCTACTTCCGGGTAATGGGACCTTATTTCGGAAAAATTATGCATTGAAGTCAATGGGGAGAGAAAACTTATCTTTCGATCCCGTTTGAATTGTGCCATGAATTACACATATGATGTTTGTCAATCTTAAAAAATAATTTCCATGTAAAAAAAGTCACAGTTTGTCGTAAAACTGTTGAAATATAAGACTATGAAAAATACGTAACTAGAAAGACTACAAATCCCAGAGTCGCGTAAGTGATGTCACAATTGTTTTCCTCCACCATTCAGATACCTAAGATCAGCGCAATATAGATATAATCTATCTATATGGCGCTGGCTAAGATAAGATAACTTTAACAAGATGCCTGTGTGCTTAGTACCAGGTTGTTATTATACCAGCAATGGGTCTTGCTCGTTCTTTTGCTTCCCGTCTGATGAAAGGACCAGGAGTGGCTTGATCAAGTTAGCTACCTAGCTAGTAGCTAGCACGTTAGTTAGCATTACAGCCTTGTCATTTTTATTAGCCTTAACATGAAGTAACATTAAGTAACCCAAAATGTTAAACAGTAAGAGTAGTAGTCATATTTCGTGACCCTTTGAATAGTACTGTCACCGGTGTGATCATTCTATAATACACCATTTAAGCCCGGGGGAGAAATGCTAACGCTAACGTTAGCATCGGCGATCTTCTCTACTTCATGCTATCTGCACAAATGGTTGACATTAAACATTAAAACGACCAGACAGTTCAGAGAGAATCAAAGGAAGGCAGGCAGGCAGCTTTGCATGACATTCTTCAGGACATGTTTCATTGTGGTGATAGTGAGGATAGTCAATCGTTTTGTTGACAAGACAGTAGTGACGGCCATCTTGGTGACGTGTGTTGTTGACCAGAGATGTAGTTCATTGAGCGTTTCACACAAACAAATGTGTTACTTCACAGTTTTACGACACATTTTTTTTTTTTTGACTTGCAAAATTATCTTTTAAATTGACAAACATCATATGTGTAATTCGTGGCACAATTCAAATGGGATCGAAAGATAATCTTTCTCTCTCCATTGACTTCAATACATAATTTTTCCGAAATAAGGTCCCATGAATTGTGCCACGAATTACACATATGATGTTTGTCAATTTAAAAGATAATTTTGCAAGTCAAAAAAAAAAAAAATGTGTCGTAAAACTGTGAAGTAACACATTTGTTTGTGTGAAACGCTCAATGAACTACATCTCTGGTCAACAACACACGTCACCAAGATGGCCGTCACTACTGTCTTGTCAACAAAACGATTGACTATCCTCACTATCACCACAATGAAACATGTCCTGAAGAATGTCATGCAAAGCTGCCTGCCTGCCTTCCTTTGATTCTCTCTGAACTGTCTGGTCGTTTTAATGTTTAATGTCAACCATTTGTGCAGATAGCATGAAGTAGAGAAGATCGCCGATGCTAACGTTAGCGTTAGCATTTCTCCCCCGGGCTTAAATGGTGTATTATAGAATGATCACACCGGTGACAGTACTATTCAAAGGGTTCACGAAATATGACTACTACTCTTACTGTTTAACATTTTGGGTTACTTAATGTTACTTCATGTTAAGGCTAATAAAAATGACAAGGCTGTAATGCTAACTAACGTGCTAGCTACTAGCTAGGTAGCTAACTTGATCAAGCCACTCCTGGTCCTTTCATCAGACGGGAAGCAAAAGAACGAGCAAGACCCATTGCTGGTATAATAACAACCTGGTACTAAGCACCAGAGGTGTGGACTCGAGTCACATGACTTGGACTCGATTCAGACTCGAGTCACCAATTTGATGACTTTGGACTCGACTTGACAAAATCACAAAACACTTGCGACTCGACTTGGACTTGAACACCAATGACTCGGGACTTGACTTGGACTTGAGCCCTCTGACTTGAGGTGACTTGATAATTTAATTCAGGGGTCTCCAACACGCCGATCGCGAGATGCCGCTAGAAGAGCAGATTCCCGTCGGGGAGAGCAGAATCTCCAGCCGCTTCTACTCTTGCTGAGAATCCTTGCAGGCAGGGGCGGGTCTTTATTTAGCTGAGCCACCATGCGGCCAATCATATGAGGACACACTAGGATCATACCATTATGTGAAAGAAGGGTGGGGGGCAGACGCTCCAAAGACAGCAGGTGTAGTGGTACAGGCCAGCTACACAGAGCGACGGGGAGACAGATTTAAATGCAAGCGCGTCGGAAAAAGTCAAGAAATTAGCGAAAACCGAAAAAAGAAGCAGCATCTGGCTGCATTTCAATGATATTGGAGAAAGCAAAGCTGAGTGCAGGATTTGTAAAATGAAAATAACCTTCAGAGCAGGGTTTTTTTTTGGTAACCACTCAGGATTTATTGTCAGAGGTGGGAGAAGTTCAGATCTTGTACTTGAGTAAAAGTACCAGAGTGTAGGAATACTCGGTTACAATAAAAAGTCCTGCATTCAAAATGTTACAAGTAAAAGTACAAAAGTATTAGCATCAAAATACAGTTAAAGTACCACCTGCAGAGGGATCTAGATTCAGGTGTTCTTTTCCCCATAGAGACGCCTCGCTGCACATTATCCCTTGCATAAAGATAGATTGTGGGTCCCTTATAACATGTTGTACACAGTGGAAATAAACATTCTGGTTACCTCAACATCAGAGATCTTATCAATTAAACTCCTTCTGAATCAAACCGTCACGGTAGCATTACCTTACTGATCCCTCTTACAATAGAAGAAAACATGTTACTTTACCAGCAGAGAGAAAATAGATTATTACAGTATTAATGTGACTAATAAAGAGCAGTTTAATTATTAAGTATTATTCTGTTGATCGGTGTCATTACATTTGGTGAAAAGCACATAATGACTTGTTTAAGACTCGTTTTGTCAAAGTTTAGGACTTGGACTTGACTTGAACTTGCCCATCCTGACTTGAGACTTGACTTGGACTTCAGCACAAAGACTTGAGACTTGACTCGGACTTGAGCGCAAAGACTTGAGACTTGACTCGGACTTGCAAAACAATGACTTGGTCCCACCTCTGCTAAGCACACAGGCATCTTGTTAAAGTTATCTTATCTTAGCCAGCGCCATATAGATAGATTATATCTATATTGCGCTGATCTTAGGTATCTGAATGGTGGAGGAAAACAATTGTGACATCACTTACGCGACTCTGGGATTTGTAGTCTTTCTAGTTACGTATTTTTCATAGTCTTATATTTCAACAGTTTTACGACAAACTGTGACTTTTTTGACATGGAAATTATTTTTTAAGATTGACAAACATCATATGTGTAATTCATGGCACAATTCAAACGGGATCGAAAGATACGTTTTCTCTCCCCATTGACTTCAATGCATAATTTTTCCGAAATAAGGTCCCATTACCCGGAAGTAGGTGGGCGTGACTTCGCCACTCTATAGTACATATTTTAATATGTTTGGTATAATTGTTATTGACCGAGTAAGCACTTTTATTTTGAAGGCAGTTTTTCCAGACCGCTACCGTAATGCATAGGATATTCGCGCACCGCAAAACAACGCGGATGCTGGCTTGACTGTGTTTTCCGAAGTGGAGGCTGGCTTGACCGCAGTCTAATACTGTAGTACTTTTTCTTGACTAACATTTTGAATACAGTACTTTTAATTGTTACAGAGTATTCCTGCTCTGTGGTATTTCTACTTTTACTAAAGTACAAGATTTGAGTACTTCTTCCACCTGCTCTGACCATGGATCAATATTGCCACAGGACAGCTTAACGGATCGTTACAGCAGGCCATTCAACGAGCCTCATAAAACCTGACAACACATTGCTATGACAGTTTAAAAACTACTCACAGATAAACCAGGGCGAAGAAGACAGCCAGCAGAGTCCAAGTAGTTGGTGACAACAAGGAAAAGGGAAACATCTTGACTGTGTGAGACGGAGAGCCTGACACACACTGGATGAATAATGAGAAAATGCGCATTAAAAAGTAACTGTTGATCCTTTGGGGGCGGAGCCACACCGCTGGAGAACCAGGAAGACATTCAAGGTGTTTATGTAATACACACATGACCAGTTTGGGCTGCTGGTTGGAAATGGACAATTGTGTCCCTCTCACCACTTTACATTAGGTTATTTTGTTAAAAACGGTTCTGAAAATAGCGTGCACAAAGAATTGTACACTTTGAGAACATGCACAATCTCGAGGACCACTAAGTGGTGCAACATGTTTAATATTAGTAATAATTGTATAGAGATTGGTAAAGCAATTGTTGCTCCAGCTTTGCAGCAGCGTGGCATGGTTACTGCACTAATTGTCAAAAAGTATTGTAAGCATTTGTATGTATGTATATATGTGTTGTTTGTGGGGGGCGCTTTAGTGTTTTTTTTAAATGTGAACAATTAAATTGAGCTAATCCAAAATACTTATTTAAAGTGTTTTTTTCCACCCTAAAGATACAGCTTTGGAAAAAATCAAGAGACCACTGCAGCATTATCAGTTTCTCTGGTTTTACTATTTATAGGTTTGTGTTTAAGTTAAATGAACATTTTTATTATTATTATTCTTTAAACTTCTGACAACATTTCTCTGTTGAGATGCATCACTTCTGAACATATTCATTATTAACAGCCTTATTTAACTTGATAGGGTGAACTTCTGTGCAAATAACTGCTTTTTTAATCATCCAGCTGACATGAAGCAGCATTCATATGTATTTGTCTTCAACAGGGCACAGGGCTGGACTGGCCATCTGGCATACCGGGCATTTTCCCGGTGGGCCGACGTGCCTTTTGGGCCGACACGTCATTTTTTTTTTTTTCTGAAGTCACGGCCCAATTATAGACGGGTAGATTGGCCCTCTGTTTAAATGTTTTTAGTAATTGACACTGGGCCGGCCCAATCAAATCTTTAATCACCTCCCCCTTTGGGCCGCTCGGTGTGGGTGTGCATCATTAAATCACGCCCCCAGGAGGTGAGCCGGCCGTTGAAGCCAAACTGCCTTTTTTTTCGAGAAAAAAAAAAGTTCGAGTTAGAAATGGAGAAGGCGAAGGCGAAGACGAAGGCCAAGCGAAAAGGGGGAGCAGAAAAATTGCGGGCAAGAAAAAAGCAGGCCCTTCGTGCTGATGCTGCCGCTTGTGTCAAAATAACCGACATGTTTAGTACCCGTGGCCGATATTGGTGGTGAGGAAGAAGATGAGAGGGAGAGAGATCAGCGCGAGTGAGGAGAGGGAGGAGAACTCGCGGTAAGCAGAAGCTAAGAAAATTAGGAAAAGATTATTATTAAGGTTATGATACTCTGTAGTTCTGGAACCCATTAATATCCCCTTGATGAAGCACTAATAAGACAAATATTATAAGAGAAACATTCGTTAGCCTACAAGCTAGTAAGCTGGCTTTTTTAGGTTTTAGGCAAGTTAAAATATAGCTTAATGGGACTCTGATACGTTGTCTCATTGAAAGAATGTCATTATTTTGTTAACCACCATTCATGAACAATTACTGTCAGCTGGCAGCTTGTTTTGTTTAGTTTATTTACTTATGTGTTTATAAGGGCAACAGTGGTCTTTTGGGACCTGAACAAAATGTTTATAGTCAGCTTTTTGTGGTAGTTTTGATTGACAATATATAGAATGAATAATATAGAAATAGATAAAAAAAATTGGGGCACACATGTAGTTTTGACCATTAACTGTGTGTATTGTTATGTCAATGCCTATTTGTATGGACCTCTATCAGGGACCAAAGAGGTCACCTGCATCCTTTTTGACTCTCCCAAAGCCCCCAACTACAGACAGACAGACCAGACAGACAGACAGACAGACAGACAGACAGACAGACAGACAGACAGACAGACAGACAGACAGACAGACAGACAGACAGACAGACAGACAGACAGACAGACAGACAGACAGACAGACAGACAGACAGACAGACGACAGACAGACCAGACAGACAGACAGACAGACAGACAGACAGACAGACAGACAGACAGACAGACAGACAGACAGACAGACAGACAGACAGACAGACAGACAGACAGACAGACAGACAGACAGACACAGACAGACAGACAGACAGACAGACAGACAGACCAACAGACAGACAGACAGACAGACAGACAGACAGACAGACAGACAGACAGACACAGACAGACAGACAGACAGACAGACAGACAGACGACAGACAGACAGACAGACAGACAGACAGACAGACAGACACGAACAGACAGACAGACAGACAGACAGAACAGACACAGACAGAGACAGACAGACAGACGACAGACAGACAGACAGACAGACAGACAACAGACAGACAGACAGACAGACAGACAGACAGACAGCAGACAGACAGACGACAGACAGATACAGACAGAACAGACAGACAGACAGACAACAGACAGACAGACAGACAGACAGACAGACAGACAGACAGACAGACAGACAGACAGACAGACAGACAACAGACAGACAGACAGACAGACAGACAGACAGACAGACAGACAGACAGACAGACAGACAGACGACAGACAGACAGACAGACAGCAGACAGACGCAGACAGACAGACAGACAGACAGACAAGCAGACAGACAGACAGACAGACAGACAGACAGACAGACAGACAGACAGACAGACAGACAGACAGACAGACAGACAGACAGACAGACAGACAGACAGACAGACAGGACAGACAGACAGACAGACAGACAGACAGACAGACAGACAGACAGACAGACAGACAGACAGACAGACAGACAGACAGACAGACAGACAGACAGACAGACAGACAGACAGACAGACAGACAGACAGACAGACAGACAGACAGACAGACAGACAGACAGACAGACAGACAGACAGACAGACAGACAGACAGACAGACAGACAGACAGACAGACAGACAGACAGACAGACAGACAGACAGACAGACAGACAGACAGACAGACAGGACAGACAGACAGACAGACAGACAGACAGACAGACAGACAGACAGACAGACAGACAGACAGACAGACAGACAGACAGACAGACAGACAGACAGACAGACAGACAGAAGACAGACAGACAGACAGACAGACAGACAGACAGACAGACAGACAGACAGACAGACAGACAGACAGACAGACAGACAGACAGACAGACAGACAGACAGACAGACAGACAGACAGACAGACAGACAGACAGACCGACAGACAGACAAGACAAGACAGAACAGACAGACCAGACAGACAGACGACCAGACAACAGACAGACAGACAGACAGAAACAGACAGAACAGACAAAAGAAAACAGACAGACAGACAGACAGACGACAGACAGACAGACAGAACAGACAGAAGAACAGACAAGACAGACAGACAGAACAGACAGACAGACAGACAAGACAGACCAGACAGAACAGAACAGACAGACAGACAGGACAGACAGACAGACATACAGACAGAACAGACAGACAGAACAGACAGACAGACAGACAGAACAGACGACAGACAGACAGACAGACAGACAGACAGAACAGACAGACAGACCAGACAGACAAGACAAGACAGACAGAGACGACAGACAGACAGACAAGACAGACAGACCAGACAGAACAAGACAGAACAGACAGAAACAGACAGAACAGACAGAACAGACAGACAGACAGACAGACAGACAACAGACAGACAGACAGACAGACAGACAGACAGACAGACAGACAGACAGACAGACAGACAGAAAGACAGACAGACAGACAGACAGACAGACAGACAGACAGACAGACAGACAGACAGACAGACAGACAGACAGACAGACAGACAGACAGACAGGACAGACAGACAGACAGACAGACAGACAGACAGACAGACAGACAGACAGACAGACAGACAGACAGACAGACAGACAGACAGACAGACAGACAGACAGACAGACAGACAGAAGACAGACAGACAGACAGACAGACAGACAGACAGACAGACAGACAGACAGACAGACAGACAGACAGACAGACAGACAGACAGACAGACAGACAGACAGACAGACAGACAGACAGACAGACAGACAGGACAGACAGACAGACAGACAGACAGACAGACAGACAGACAGGACAGACAGACAGACAGACAGACAGACAGACAGACAGACAGACAGACAGACAGACAGACAGACAGACAGACAGACAGACAGACAGACAGACAGACAGACAGACAGACAGACAGACAGACAGACAGACAGACAGACAGACAGACAGACAGACAGACAGACAGACAGACAGACAGACAGACAGACAGACAGACAGACAGACAGACAGACGACAGACAGACAGACAGACAGACAGACAGACAGACAGACAGACAGACAGACAGACAGACAGACAGACAGACAGACAGACAGACAGACAGACAGACAGACAGACAGACAGACAGACAGACAGACAGACACTGGACAAAGTGCCCCTCTCCACAACAAGCATTCATTTTAGTTATTTCAGTCTAGTATATAAGTTACTTTGTGTGTACAGTATATATATCTTGCTAGTTGTGTACTTTTGTAATTTATGTGGGATTTCTGTCAAATGTTGCTTCAACTCTCTTTGTAAATTTAAATCTGTCTCTTTCAAACCTATTCTCAGGAAAAAAAATAAAGACAGTGGATAGTATTTTTGGTTAAGCCTGTGTTCCTTCAGTTCTGTGTGCTCTGTGAGGTTCTGAGAAACCAGCCGCCTAAGACTTGCACTATAGCCCCTTGCGTGCGTCAATCAATCACATTTTATTTATATAGCCCAATATCACAAATTACAATTTGTCTCAGAGGGCTTCACAGTGTGTACAGGTACGACATCCTCTGTCCTTAGACCCTTGCAGCGCTCAAGGAAAAACTCCCCAAAACAGACCCCACAATTAACAGTGGAAAGTAGGAAGAAACCTCTGTGAGAGCAACAGAAGAGGGATCCTTCTCTCAGGACGGACAGACGTGCAATAGGTGTCGTGTGTACAGATGAAAAAGGCAATACAATTACAGCGATTAAAAAAAAGGATGGAAAAATTAAATGAAAGCGTCAATGTATATAAAAAAGATGCCGTCGACTCATCCTGTAGACTCATCTGGTCCTATCTCTATTGTGTTGTCATAGAAAGGGGAGGCAGGGCACTATAGGGTCCCCCCCCCCTAAATTCACTAGAAGTCATCATTTAAGGGGTTATTTAAAAAA